AAGTCTTATCCACATTGATCACTTTACATGGCTTAAATGCACATTGTTCATATACGTCTTCCTCTAAAGTACCTTTAATTTGGTTTATTTTATTATTTTAAGTGTGATGCGCTCACCATTTTTTTTATGAAAACGTAAATACACAAGCAATCAATTTTTGGAGTTTTTTTTTCGGGCCCTTAACGAAAGCATTCATAACTCCTCAGCATTTTTCCCGAATTCGACATTAACACAACCGCTGGAAACCTTAATTACTGATCTTTCAATCCTTATAAATCACTTTTATATTTTATTCCTATGTTAGGTAGAAATAAAGAAAACACTTCTCAAACGTTTTTATGTTTTGTTCTGAATTGTTTTGAGTTCCGATTTGTGCCATTTCGGGTCTATTCGGCCACTCATCCCTGAAAGTCTTCGTGTGGTTCATGGTCGCACTCTCACAGAAGTCATTAAAAATAAGTGCGCATTATTTTGTTCGTTTCATTGCTATACATATTAGTATTGAAAAGTCATTTGAGGTGAGGAAAACGAATATCAAAATGGTTTCTCTTTAAAGGTACGTTTACCCCCATACTACTACACCGTATTATACACAGTATAATTTATCTATATCTAGAATGAGTACAATATTGAAACAAATAGTATTTCCTCTCCAATTTGAAGACTCGTTTTGTTGAGAATTCAGAAAACTTTTCAAATTAATGCGGATGTAATCAATCATAAATTGTATACTTTTTGAGTTGAGCGCAAATGAAACCTATATGTTTCTATCTGTTTCTTCCGGGGTGATATTATTTTTTCGCCACCGAGGAAAACGATAATCTTAAAAGGTAACATACGTCTTTCATACTTACCTGTTAGCAAAATTCTCTGCATATCAACACAGAGCTACTACTATATCCTCCATTTTATTGTATTCTCAGTTCGTTTACCGGCAGCGTCATTCCACCTTGTTTGAGATAAGTATATATTTCTTTTGTGCGTCTGAGAGAAGCGTGTTATCCGTTGCGCAGTCAATTCTATTCCTCCAGCAGACATGTATTACCACTAATGATGTAATTTTCACTGTCTTTTGGACGCGTATTACCAGTGATGTCTCACTTTATTATTTATTGAAAGGTATTTTGTTTGTTTATTTATTTAGGCTTTAAGGCATAAAACCCTAGGGTCATCAACGCCTGTGAGTCGGTTATATTTGTAAACTCTTTAGAGGAGAATTAATAATTAACAATAGATATAGTAATATAGAAATTTAAAAACATATACAAGATGAAATATATTAAAATAAATATTAAAAAAAGAAAGATAAAAAAAAAATTAAAATTATATTTATTTTTATATTTTATTTAACAGTCTATATATTTTAAGAAATTGTATCACTGTTTTTATGTTTGATTCGTTGTTGCTTAATACCGCTGATATATTCGGTTTTAGAGACAATCGATTTAGGCTTGAAGTATAATTTGTATAAGGTAGAGGTATAAAGAAGTATAAGGTAAGTATAAAGAAGTAAGGTGGTATTCTTGGAAAATATGGTTGACTGTGAGAAATTGAAAGGTATTCTTTGTGAATTTATTTATTTTTTAATTGAATTAATACCTGCTCAATCCTATATATATATATATATATATATATATATATATATATATATAGAGAGAGAGAGAGAGAGAGAGATAGACAGATATCTTTTTTTTTTTTTTTTTTTTTTTTGTATCTGTTTATTGAGTAATAATACAATTTGCCACACTTAAGGGCACTGAGTACTAAGGCTGAGTGAGGCACATTCATACTATATATACAATACCATAAAAAATAAAAACATATAAAAATCTATACAATAAAACATATAACAAAGGCAAAAACTATAATAAACCAAGGAAATGTAACTTAGAGTTAAAATTAAATGAAATACAGAAATTCGTAGCAAAATTAAATAAATTATAAGTAATAGAAATAAATAGAAAAACATTCATACTTAAATACAATAAGATAGATATCTTTTTTTTATTTATTTTTTTATTTATTAATTTTTTTTATCTATTTATTTTTATTATATTTTCTCTTATTATTATTTATTTATTTTTTCACTTGATTTCATTTCATTTTAAATTCATTTGTTTATTATTCTCAATTCATTTATTGATTCTACTGCTATTTTTTAAGGTTAATTTATTTATACATTTTTTATATGTCTTATTACCTATAAATGTCTATTATTATCCTTATTTATTTATTTTATTCTTTCAATCCATTTCTTTATTTATTTTTTTATTTTTTTAAATTTTTTTTTAATTTTTTTTTTATATTTTTTTATATATATATATTTTTTTTTTTTTGTACCAATCATCCAAATAGTATTAAATGATGTTATTTAGTTGATCGGGCGCTTATGACCTGGATGTTTTGCGCCTGGACATCGAAACAAAAGAACAAACAAGATAGATATCTAGAATTACTATTCGTTACTGTCACACCTTACTGATTGATAAGATAGATAACCCCATTAGTAGTGATCACTTCCCTTTCATCATTGTAAAATTTTCCGGGTCTTTCATGTTTTTTTTTGTGTGCGTGTACGTGTGTGTTTCACCAACGTTTTCAGTAAGAACAAAGAAAATTATTAATATACTATCCCTCCTTTTGTGAAATGTGTTATTTTTCCTTTATTATAAATATTTCAATTGCCAAAATAAAATAATTTTTATACTATTTTATATAATTTTAAAATGTATATATTTTTTATTTTTAAAATTTAAAAAATAGTTTAAATATGAAAATCATATCGTCAATATATTATTCAATAAATTCACTAAACATGGCTGTTATGTCTGTCAGAAGTATGTTACTCGCAGTGTAGTATTGTTAGATGTTACCAGTTAAGAGGTAAAAATGATGGTAGCCATGATGAGGTAGCCATTGAATTTTGATGGAGTATGTCGTATAGATATCTTTGATTTTCCGATGTTCCTATGAACATAAAAAATATTCTACGTTTCAGATTTCTCATTTAACTGTACTTCAAGTAATTTACCAATTAAATATTAGAACCACTAAGTGTAAAAAAAAAATTACATGTATTATAGACGTTATTTGTTGAAATGAAACACGTCAATTTTTTTTCTTTTTTTAGTTTCTCATTGCCACCCCAGTTGATGGTACCTTCCTTAGGAAATCGAATTTTAGTTGACATAATAATTTATCCAATGACATATAGTAGTACATTGATTGTCTTAAAATGATTCCAGTTCGGCGACTTCAAACTTGCCTACCTGCCGGAGGAATGGCTTGACTGCTTTATGACGTACCTTTTGCAAGGGATAACCATATTCCATTGACAGGCTGGCTCGTAACATCGGCAAAAACTTTATTTGAAAAAAGAATATTTCACAGGTAAGAGCAATAACTTGAGTAATATACCTGAGTGAGGACTGACGTTATATAGCTATCCATCTCCGTTATTTATATCAACAAAACATGTTTATTCTTAAATATAGTATTATCAAGGTAATTCAACACACACTTAATAATACTTTACCAAGACTATTAAAGTAACAAGTTACTTAATAAGTTATTAACTTGTCCCACAGCCGAATCATTGGTTAAGCCTCCCAAAATGGAAAAATATACCAGATATAATGTTGAAATAAAATATTAAAAAATGATTTCTACAAGCATCACTTCATTTAAGATGGGTTATATTAATTTAATTTCGTAGAGATATTTTGTTTGTTTCTTTTTTTTTTCCTAAGTAATTATCCTGGTATATATATGTATATGTACAAGTTGAATATATATGTATATAAAAAAGGCTGAAGCCAAAATTGGATCCTGGATCCACTAGTGACTTGTTCCACTCGACAATACCCCTCCAGCTTAATAGTTTTACATTAAGATACCGCCATTCCTATATGGTATATATGGCAGTATATATGAGTATATATGGCATGCCTAAATATTTCTTTAAAAAAATAAATTACAAAAAGTATCTTTCTATTCACTTTGAACTGCCAAAGGGGTAATTATTCATTTATTTTCATCTGATTTGTCGGATCTTTTTACGTAAGAATTTCTATTACACACCAATTGCTTCCCCTTTGAAAAGGGAAATGTTATTTCAGTTTCCTCACTTTGTAAGAAAACTTGTTTCTATTATAACTAACACTTAATAATACTATTTTGCGAAGAAAAAAAAACTCTGTGGTTGATAGTTGTAGTAACCACCATGTTTATTATACCATATCAGAGACAGACTCAATGATAATAATTTTATAATCAATTGTGAAAAATTGTCAACACTTCCATTTTATTTACTTTTATTAACGTTATATTATTAGACAACGGTAGCCACTCTTATCGGATTTTAAATTATTTTATCAAAGGGATAAAAAAAATGAACAAATAATTCTTATTGATGCAATGACAATTTTGGAATGATTTATTTAATTATAAATACATCTAAAAAAAAAGAGTAATGTATAATATAAGTGTATTTCTGAAGATGGAAAAATATTCACAAAACATTTTAAAGTGGGTGACAATGTAAAAGATTAATGTTGAACAAAAATTAAAGGAAGTGTTGAAGATGTTTCACAAATTATAACTAAACTGGTAATATCCACATAATTTAATCACTCATCCAATTTCAGTGAAGCTAAAGTTATAAAAAAAACTTTGCACTTGGAAAGTATTCCTATTTATTCTTATCTATAGGTAGCCATTGATCATTATATATATAGAATATAGAAGAATCCAATTCCATATTAATAAGGACAGGGATTTTTTTTAAATTGAAACTAAGTAGCTTGAAATAAATTGTTTTTTATTTCATAAATACAACTATATACAGGATTAATAAAAATACAATACATACTAAACTAAACTAGGTTTTGTCAACAAATATAAATAGGTCTATATACAAATTTTTATACTCAACAATCTTTTTTGTTTTGTTTTGTATTCCGGAACATTCTCCGAGAATAACAAAAATAAACAACAGCAATTACAACTAGATTTGCCTTGCACGTAGAAATTTGCTTCAGCAAACAATCCACTTGAATCTAATTCGTTATTCGACATGATGTTCGGTGAATCTGAAAATGTAAAAAACTATATCAAATACGTTGTATATCAATATAATTAACATATATATACATATATATATACATACATATATATATATTTTTTGTTTTATTGAATAGTTGAAAAATAAACTTTTTTAAAAGACATATATATTGAAATTTAGAACTATATTACATGAAAAATACATCAAGTAAATTTGATATTGGTATCATGGCATGTATAACAGTAAGAGATCAATGGGAGAACTCCAATTATAGTTCTATATTAGAAGATCCCGAGGAAGGTTAGTAGTAGCAGGGATATAAGAGGAAGCAAGGTTATAACCAAGTGAGTTCGTATGATTCAGAAATTTATTATGGAAGGATAGTTATCTGTATTGAGTTAAATCGGAAACATATGGTTCACTAAGGTCACGGATGATTTTATTTGTAACAAAGTAAGGAACATTGAGGATTTTACTAAGGATACGGGATTGTAAGGATTTGATAAGAGAGGAATTTGATAGTTTGGTAGAGCACCAAAGCTCGATTCCATAATTCCAAATAGGCCTTATTATAGTCATATACATATCTATATATACATGGGTCTTTTGTAAATAATTGAAAGTTTATATCATTTGTCTAGTAAGTGCTGGTGGGGTTGTCGAATTTCAGTCTGGTATGAGGATTCAAAGTGATACGGGGAAATAAACTCAAAATACTTACAGTCTTTTTGGCTTCACCCTATCTCTTATTGAAGTTAGCCCATGACGGATCATTGGCGTTTCAATGTAAGTGGGTGATCGCATACCATACTTAGAGGTGAGCTGAAAAAAGTAATAGATGAAAATATATATTATATTAAAATTTATATAGAAATTAATTGTTTGAATATCGAATACTCACTCTAAGTCTGCCTATCCCATCAATAATTCGGACTATTAAATATGGAGATAGGAAGGAACCTGTGGATGGGGACCAAGCCATATGTGTGGGCGTACCAATGATGTCTAGTTCCATGGGTTCTTCATCACTCATGACCTGTGGAATTATTAAAATTCGTTAATTATGAAAAGCTATACGATGACTTGGTCATTTCAAAGAAATATTTTGGAATACTTACTGGATCGATCTCCATTTTGAACGAGTCGAGCAAAGGATAACTCAAGTGTAACGAGCCCATATCTGCAGTAACAAAGATCTCAGATAAGAATGGTCAAAGTCACAGAACAGCCACTTCTATACTGGTGGAAGAGGGGATGGAACCGGCGGAGTGGGGATGGAGGGCACATCCTATTGGTCCGTATAGTCAGAGAGCCCGTGCAAAAAAATCGGCATTATTTGATATGGATTTTGAAAACTTTTGAAGCAATTATTTTTAATATTTATAACATTTATATTTAAAAAATGAGAGTCTGCCAGTCGGATCTTGCTACCAGTAAAATGACGATAAATGCATTGTGAAAAATGTGGAAAAAATATTTATTTTTTAACTTGTTTTTATTGGTTGATTATACATGTAAAAAAAATTGTTAACGCGTGCTATCAAGACAAAACTTTTCATAGCCAAAAAAGCCAAAATTTTCTATATTTTTTTTCCCACCTATAACTCCGAAACGGTGAATCGAAGCGAAAAACGTCCTCTTTAAAACAATTAAGTAACATTTAATTTTGTGTCGAATGAGCACCTAAACATAATAACTTTGTTACGTTCTTTAGAGAAATAACCCATAGAATATAAAATATATACCACAAAGTCCGCGTCCACTGAGTACCAACAGTTGTGTAATAGAAAACCAGTCGGGAACAACGGACATACTCCCACACACACCAACTTCATAATGATACTGAAATGACGAACTACAACTAGTGCAAATCTAAACGATATATACATATTTCTAAAGATAGAGTATTTCTGTGACGCTCTACCAACACAAAGATTACATCTCCAAAAGCCCCCAAAAAAGTGGTCCCCCCCCCAAAGTAAAATTTCTAAGTTTTGTGCAACTTAGGAGTCTTATAACTCTTTTAATGATAATTTTAAATCTTAAGTTCATTAGAATATTTGTTAACATTCCTTGGGGGCTATCAAAACTCTAATACAAAAGAAAGATTGATTTCTTCAGAACCTCCCCTAAAATTGCCCCCAAAGTAAAATTTTCTTAATTATTTTTGGAGTTTTGATAGTCTCCCTAATAGTTCTAGAGTTCTCTAATATTTAAAAAATAATTCTATTGTTTAAACCCCCGAAAATGCCACTATTTATATATTACACTATCAGTATATCGAAAATATTTTTTTGCAACTTGCAAGGCTTATATCTTCAACTTTAGGTTAAATATTAGTTTAGTATAATATTTTCGATTCTTTGATGTTCGAAAACTTTTTCGTTTCGCATCCTTGATTAAAACACACCAATAATTATAGATTGTACTCGCTGAGGAGCTATTAAAACACCAATCAGAATAATTTTTTTCCGACATAAATTTGCACCCTTCGGACTTAGTAAATTTGTTTATGTAAAATTTTATACATGAAAACTTTGGTTAAAAATATTTTTTGGATTTCTGGAGTTCTGTTGAGTTTTCCTATGGCCCCTCTAAGAATTATAAAAATTAATATAATGGACCTTTGCCCTAAAGTTGACCAAAAAAAATACAAGTCTCCCAAGTTGAAAAAAAAATTGTTTGATTCTTTGAGTGGTATTTTCGGTGTTTTTTTAAACAATAGAATTATTTTTTTAAATATTAGAGAACTCTAAAACTATTAGGGGGGCTATCAAAGCTCCAAAAATAATTAAGAAAATTTTACTTTGGAGGGGGGCAGTTTTTTTTCGGGGGAGGGGAGGCTCTGGAGAAATCAAGCTTTCTTTTTTATTAGTTTTAATAGACCCTCAGGAATGTTATTCAGATATACTTTCAAACCTTTGTAGGCATATATGAGCCTTTCGGTTGACAGAATAACTCCAATTTCAACATTCTTTATTTATAATTTTAGTGATCTTTCTAGTGGCAAAATTTATACCTTAATTCGAAGTTCTATATTTCAACACTGCAATCACCTACTCCGGAATCAACTTATTCACTGTCTGTATAGATAACTTTTCCAACTAGAAATATCACTAAAATGACATTATTAAAAAGTGTTGAAATTGGAGTTATTCATTCTGTCAACAGAAAAGCACAGATACTGAAGTTGTGTGTTTATAAAAGTAGATGGAGTGACTAGATTTTTATTGCCTACCATCGATATTATAAATAGACTTTTTGTAATTACAATGGTCATAATGCTTTGCTATCCTTATTCTTTCAGCTTTAGCTCCGTTTCAAATGCACTTCTAACATTTTATAATAGCCCAACATTGCTCGAAAATAATTTCTATTCCGAGTAAAGCGGTAAGTGACAGTTGTGTGTTGCGCTCACCAGATTTTTAATATACCTTCTGTAAGGGGGGTCAGCAATTTGTAGGAATTTCATCGAGTGCAACAGAAAATCGAATGGAAACACATAATTTCTTATTTTAACGGCCAATTTAAAAAAAAAAAAATCTATATTGTGGTATTTAAATTTTGAGTTATTATAATCCAAATGTTCAACAGGACCCGTTATCATTTGGTTTTCGGCATTATCCTTTTTCTTTTTATTTCCTCGCTAACGTGGCGTCGCGTTAACATAAAATTTTGAATAATAGCCCATTACGAAGAGGATGAAATTTCCATTGCTTGAACATTTCCGACAGTATGCAGGTCTGATTTTTAGTTTTTGAGATATTTTAATTCAAATGCAAAAAAACCAAAAAAAAAAAAAAAACACTTCAATTAGTTTAGTAGAACCCACTTTACCAGAATGAGCGATACATGAACGAGCGTGACGCCTCAGTTTCATTAACTACTCACAAAAGAATGCAAGTCATGCCTAAAGACGTTTTCACTTCAAGGATTTTTTTTCTATTCCGTTTACGAAAACATACATAGCGCCTGAATAGTTATGGCCGTTAAGGATCGTTTACACCGTGCTCGGCTGTCTCCTCTTAAAGCAATAATTCCAGCTCATACTCCTTGCCATAAAACTGCTTCCTTGAAAAAAAAAAAAAAAAAAAAACCTTTACCATGCATTGTTGATAAATATTCAGGGCTAAACATTTTAAAATACAATCAGAGATATACTATTATGCGACCGATAATGGTAAATAACAATTCATGTACCATCAATCACTATATATATATTTACTAACTAAATAAATAATAACCAATATCGGTCGTATAATAGTATATCTCTTATTGTGTTTTAAAATTTTCAGCCCTGAAGATGACCCACATGTTTGGGTTGAAACGTTGGCACAAATGAAAGATTAATTTTTTTTTTTTAAAAAGACTGCGCCCTAAATATTTATCATCCATGATATGTACAAACAGTCGACTAGCTCCCTTCAATACTTTACCATGCATCATGTTACATCATTTTAGAATTTCTTATCCCTCTCCATGCCTAAAACCTCGTCTTTAACTTTCAAATTATTTCTCCACCACCATTAACAAACAATCTTCCGAATTGATGGATGAAGTTTCCGAATCGATTTATGAAATAAAGTTTTTTGCAGTTTTGTTGCAGATCCAAATACCTCACTTTCCAAGATAAATTCTTCAATCTTATTTCAAGTCTAGATATGGAAAAAAAATTTAACATCTGATATTTCAAACATAGTTCATAAAGACCTCCTAGATTCCATTATCCCTTCTTTCCAACTTTCTTTAAAAAATATGTCGATGACCTGCTCCCTGTTCTCACAGCATCTCTCAAATCTTTTCCTCATTTAACTATTTCCATCCCCCTCTCCGTTTCCGTATCGAGAAAGAAGTTGATAATTCACTCCCATTTTTAGACCTATTAATAATCAGAAACACGACCGGGTCTACATAACTTTTTAAAAAATATCTCAATCTTTTTTTTATATTAGCGTTAATAGCTTTTTATTTTATTATTTATATTGATTACTAGTATAAACAAACATATATCTATATTTATTTAAGAATGAGTTTATTTATTTACATTTATATGGCGTTTGTTTTAATCCTATAATTGCATCATTTCTTTATTTAATTATTTCATATTATTATTTTTATCTCAGACAAATTTAACTGCAGTTGCATATTTCTGTTCTCATTAGGAAACGGAGTGTGTCAGAATAAAAGTTACTTTTCTTTTAAATTGTTTTGTACTATATTTTGTTTACATTTTGTACTAGCTTTCCACTTTTATATGATTCATAAATTAATCAGAAATTATTCCTGACACACGAGTTCATGAATGTTAATCCAGGATATATCTTTAACATAGGTATTTTGCATTAATTCATGCTAATATTAAGTATTATTCATTTTTTTTTAAATCTCATTTTTGAAGGATATAAAAATATTTTTCCAATACAACAAACAACATTTTCATCAACTGACAAAACATATTTAAAAATAATTTAACTTATCCATTATTCTTAATTATTTTCTAGAATTCAAATGAAAATAATATACAGGGAATTTGCCGAAACCTGGAACTGTCAGTACCTTTGAACCTTCAATCCTGGTTGATTGAAGTGAAGTCAAGGCCAAACCTGGTACCTGCTACGGTACGTACCCATGAGTCATGAATCATGAGCGGCTACCATTGTGTTCCTTAAAGGAAATTTTTACTTTCACTTACTTCTATATGAAATATATGTCATAAATACACGTTGTGAGGTCCCTCAGTAAAAATAACCAAGTCTTGCTAAATTTTGTGTTTGTGATTTTTTTTCATGATTTTATACATAAAATTATAAATTTCTTATACAAAAAAATCTTTAAGAATTCAATGCCGGTAATTTACGCTGCTCCCAATGTTGCTCAGTGATTGCAGACCGTAGTGCTGCCAATTGGACTTTTCACAACGAAAAGCATTCCAAAGACAAACCAACAACAATATCTTTCTGCCAAATGGCATCAATTTTTAAACCAAAAGGTATTACGTTTAATCACTTGGCGATAACTGGTGACAACTTTCATGTTTAAACTATATAACTTTAAGAATGTTTATTTTTGATAAATTTTACATATGAAATTACCTATGGATTGAGTTGTTTTTTTTTTCATTCAATCTTTATTTGTTTTGAGAGAAGAACCCTATACAAATAGAATCTATTTTTGTACTATAATATAATATAACATTTTTTCTTTATAATGCTACATTATACATATTATAAAAGACTTAACAATAACTTACAAATCATATTGCGTAAAAAACCAAATAGTTAAAATATTACATAATAATTATCAACCTATATATAAAATTACAGATAAAATAATTATCAATGTCAATATAAAATCTTAAGCTATCTATAGAACACAAAACCAACAACAAAACAATAAATACATTTTATCTTTTAAATATTAATGTTAAATCATATTTTAAAATTAAATTAACAGTTTATTTACATATACAAAGGAAACATGTATATTGATTGTCTTGAAAATATGGATCTTTAAAACATTTTTTCTTGTTCCAGAACAGATTCGGTGGGGCAATTCGCCATTCAATGAACACATACTAAAATATGTGTTTCATTAAAATTTATTTTTTATTTATTCTTGCCTACAGATCGAACATAAAATGACTCACTTATAATTTATTTCCATTTAAAAAAAAAATATATTAGCAAATTTCGGAAATGCTTTGTCACCGACGTCACATCTAAAATTAAATAAAACCAATGAAATCATTATTATAAATAATACACCATCAAATCTCTACATTTTATTTTCTTCATCGAACTTGCATTAAATATCAATTCAAACAGTTTCACGTCTAAAACATTTTTTAACAATAAAATTTACATACCTAATATACCCCAATATTGAGTGAGGCTTACTAAGAATAACATTCTTAAATTTTAGTTGCTGAAGATGTACACGAAACAAAGAAGCTATAAAATACAAACAATAACTCTAAAAATTACATTTTTTTTTTTTTACTTGACCTACATGGTAGATTGTTAAGAAGAAATAAATAATAAGAAAGAAAGATCTAGGATATGAATATTAAATTGAAATGGATTAACAACGTCTATATACCTTGCAATGAGATAGGTTTTAGCTACTCTTCATTATCGGGAGTTGTGGTATTCAAAATGCATGGGACGCAGGTGGACGTCCTAAAGTTATCCATACGAACATAGAACTTAAAGAAACTTCTTTTGCACTTTATTCCTGTTCTTCATCTTTTGTATCGTAAATTTGTCAAAATTCCATCCTTTAAAGTTCTTTCAAGATTGTGTTTATTAAAAACAAATAACCATTCAATATTGTAGCTGGTACTAAATAATTAAGTAAGTCCAATGAAAAGTGTATTTTTCAACTATAGAAGAATAAGGATAAGTACTAAAACCTACGGAAAGAGTCGAAAGCGACCGACCTTAGCCGATCTCTCTTCATTCACAGATACCCAATACTCTCTCCCACTTATCTATAATATTCAAAGATTTGAGCGCAAAATGTAAGGGATTCGACTAATTTAAATCTAATAGTATAAAATATGTAATAATATTGATTGCTATTTTTTAAGAGATTCGTGATAGATGTATTCCATAAATCTATGTTTTTTTTCCAAAAGATCATAAATATTAGATATTATATACAGTTGTAATAGGAAATAGAAAGTGACGCAACTGTATATATTCAACAAATTCGATGGGTGGGGAAAACATCGCATTTAATTGTTTTAAATGAATATGTTGTAACATCTATAATTTTTATTTTTTCTCGTCTATATCTGAAAATATCTATTTCTACTCTAACTGGACCGATAAGCGAAAGATGTGAGCACAAGAGTTTTTGCAATATTTTTTTTGAAAACGGCGAAACTTCGTTTTTAGTTTATATCATAAAAGGGACTGAAACGAAATTATGGAATTGAAGCCGGTGTATATCTCTTTATGTTAGAAACAAATGGAAAAAACTTTCTGTAATGTAGTTATGTTGTACCAAATATGGTTAGGAATTGTTTTATCTTATATAAAAAAATATCACCATACAATATAAAATTTCGACAATATATTGAATCGTAATCTATCATTACTAAAATTTTCTGGATAATGTATACAATTTCGCGTGAATTACAGCTCCAGTGAGTTTTTAAATCCATGTAAGCTAGTGGGTTATTTTTACTTTTCTTGTTTGTGCTAGATTTCACAGTTGATTTTTTTTTTTCTTGTAAAGTAAGAATGTTTTAATTTAGAACTAATGTTTAATATTTTAGTTATTATCCAATATTTAAAGAATTTTGGATTTTATAATAACACTGCTTGGATTTTATAAAACCACCTTTTTTTTTGTCATATTGTTAATATTTAGCTCAGAAAAATGTGTATCAAAATTATTATAATTTATAAATAAGTTATTTAGATCTTCAAAACAAAACTAACCAAAAACATTATTTTTGGTCTGTTAATTATTTCCTTACCAAGTTTAGATTTTAAAAGTTTTTAACATTAATGTTTATTTAAATAACAAATTAAATTCAAAATGTTTGAAAATTAAATAAGCAGGAAAAGAATGAAACGAAATCTCTGTACCTGAACGAAAAAGATGAGACCCATCATAAAATAAAGTCTGGTCATAAAACCCAACGTTTCTCTCTTCTAAAAAATTCCGACAAATACTTTTGCCGTTGCGATACCTGTAGTTCACTGACCTATTTTAGAAAAGATATTGCCATCATAAATCAACATTGCTGAATTGTGGGTCTTAAAATTCAGGTTATTTCAACTTCCTTGTCTACTTAAGGTAAAGCAACCTGTTGTAGTTTTGCATTAAGTTTATATATGCTATTTTTTAATATTACTAGTCCGAAAATTTATAATATCTGTACAACAATAAATAAAAACAATCAACTATGAAAAGCAGCACAAACAAGGAAATTGTTATTATCACACAGTAGCTTACACGGACTTAGAAACTCACTGACTCTAGAAAGTCATGGTCTTAATCAATGTGCCCCGATAGCATGTAGCTGTAATTGACCGGAAAGGTTATAAGCCAACCAGAGAATTTGAGAAACGATAGGACCTTATTGATCATCTTTTTTTCTTAAATATATCTTTATAGCTATGCAAATATTTCTCTTAATACCTTTTTTTTTTTGTTCTTTTATTGTAATATGTATTACAATATGTATGCCAGATTTAATGTTAATTTTTATGATCAATATCGTCATTCTTAAGGGGATATGCACCAGAATAAATTTAATTGTTCTATTCTATTCTATAGTCCGTGATGTTAAACTAATTAGTTTAATTAGTCCGTTATACTGACCCCTTTTTATCAAATTATTAACACCCTAAAACTACGAAAATAAAGCTTCATCTTATAGTAACCTACAAATGTTTTATTTACCAACATTCTCGGAATTGGTAAGAGAATACAATCTGGACGTCGCCAAACTTGGTATATTTAATTAAATACTGAAAACTGTTTTTCATATATTTAATTCAATAAGAATTAAATTCTACAAATGAACTTGGTAGTGTTGATTAAAACATTAAAACATAAGTCTATCGAAGCTCATTTTTCATCTTTCCAAAATATGTACGGTACCAATTAAAATATATTAGGTAGTTTTTAACATTTTATTTCCATCTTTTTAAATATAAGTAATATGCAATGTTTTTTTATTATTTAAATAATTATTATTAATAATTTTTAAGGAAGGGTCTCAGGTAGTATAGGTGCAATTGGAGGGTCTCTTTACAGTGGTTTCAGTAAAACTCCCCCTCCAGTTTTCCCATCCCCTCCACATTCGGGAATTTTCTACTACCTTGACATGAATTTCAGATATTTTTGCTGCTTAGCTTTCAGCAGTTTCAGCAGGTTCAGTTTGGGCGAACCGATTATTATCAACGGTATGTACTCAAATAAGTTTTTTTTTTCATTCAACATCAAGTTTTTTTTGTTTGTTTTTTTACTGTATATCTGATTCTGTTTTTATCTTGATTACTCTTTTCTGATGTATAACTAAAAATATTGTTTTCAATTTATGTCTCCTTCTATACGATCTTACTTAAACTTGATTTTTATTTTTATTATACCTTCGGTAAGGTTTAAATTAGTTTATTTAACATGCCGATTCGTCATACCATAATTTTGTAGGATTTATCAAATCTTTAAAACATAATCGATACGTGTGGATGTTTAATTGATCTAAATTATGAACCGTTGAAGATAAACTAATAAAATAATTTATATTCCTGAATTAAATTTAACTATCAAAAAACTTTCTTCCTTCATAACTTAATAGTAGAACAAAGCGATTAAGAGTTAGCTAATCAAATACAGTAAAAAAACAAGGTTATTTTTTTCTCCCACATTAGCGATAGTGGAGGATAGATATCTCTGAAACTAAGCGTGGTAGGGAAAACATGTACAATATTAATTATATTGCTGATTTCATCAGCTTTAATTTTGTATAGAACGTTTTTATCTATGCGATGGATTGTTTTCCTGATATAAGGGAAAACTCGAAAAATGTTGTTCTTAATATTCAAAAAAATATGTATGTATATATATATTTTAAATTTATTTTATATTTTCCAGATTTACTACAACATAAAATGATGGAAAAGGAGATTCGAAAATTAGGAAACACCGTCGGAAGTCTTTTAGAGTCTCTTCCTATACGAGAGCGGGGGAGGGCGATTCGTGATATCCAGAAGCTGGAAGAACATTTCAGCAACAACTTGGACCACCATCGTGGTGACAGTCCAAAACTCAGCACGCAGCTACTCCGTATCGAAATGATAAGGATGGTAAGAAAATTAATATAGAATTATATAGAGAGTTTGTAAAATAGTTATAATATTTGGGTGTTCCATGTTTTAAATCAAATTATATAAATAGGTCTCAAGCGTATTCAGGTCGTATGTATTCAAATTAAAAGACAAGCTGAAGCGTAAAGCAGACCGCAGGATGTTTATTGTGTATAGTCTATGAATATTTAAATTATTCTTTCGTTTGCATTGTTTTTAAGATGAGGAGAGAAATAGAATAACTTGGGAGGGATGGGGGAAGGCTTATGCGCCATTTGCCTTGTGGGGGATGGGCATCCCTGCGCTTGGCAGTGAACTGAAACCATTTAATCAGTACGTTTTAGAGGCTGAATCAACCAAAGTTCTGTTTAAAAAAAAAAATCATGAATTATTCTCGATTATTTTTTATCATACTGAAGATACCTCACTTTTAAAAAAACACCCTTGTCTTAAGCTTTAAATCCATATTGATTAATTAGAGGTTTGATAGGAAATAACTTGAGGATTACTAGTGTTGCAAAAATGCGAGACCAGGGCGAGTCTTGGTCTTGCACACTCAACCTTGTTCGTGGTCTTCATTTTGCTCAAAAATCTCGCAACAGACTTGCTGTTACTTATTAGCTTATTACTATAGAGATATTAATGTAATTTTCTAGAAAGGAGAAACCTAACTAAGCCCGAATGAAAATAGGTCTCATTATAGTCATGTATATGAGTCTTTTGTAATTAATGGGAAGTTTAGAGCGTTTGTCTAGTAATTGCTGAAGTAATCGGACACGTCGAGCGGTATCTTGTCATTTCAGTCTAGTATGAGGATTCTAAGTTAGTCGCTTGTCCAGATGGAGTCCTAGGTATCTAATTTGCTCAACAGGGATAAGTGGAGTATTGTTAAAGGAAACTGTAGGACAGGCAGTCGTTGGTTTACGACGAAGGGTAAAGGTAATTTGATGGGATTTATTGGAGTTTATTTTAATTCTCCAGTTTTGACACCATTCATCAAGATTTATGATGTGTGATTGAAGCATTTGGGATGCAATCGATGGATCATTATTTACTGATAGGATACATGTGTCATCGGCATATGTGGTGATTAAAGTGTTGGGATTAAATTTTATTTAAAAATTGATTTTTTATTTGATTTCTTATTTATATTTGACCAATTAAATCTTTCTAATCCTAATATTTATATTTGTATGATAATAATTCCAGAAATTAGCTGGTATATACATATATATTTTTTTTTCGTCCTAGGTTCCTCGGTTAGACACAGAACCAAACAAGAGATGGCCGCATTTGCCTCGGAACTACAGCCAGGCCGTGGTAAACTTCTTATCACGGCTTCCTCTTCCTTACCAGATCCAGGCCTTAAAGAAGATAAATGAAATCGCTAAAACCTTCGCCCTATATTCTTGTAATCCGAAGGCTAAAGACTAGTGCCAATATGTACAGCTATCATTTGTGATTTATATTTTGTTGATTATAAAATCAATTATGAGAGTATACCCATTCATGTCAATTTTGTAGTTTATATAAATTAAAATACAAGATAAAATATTATGAGAATAATTGAGAGACGTATACTCAGAGTGATTAAGAATAGTTATGGTATATTTTATTGCTATTATAGTTGTATTCATTTCTGTATATAAAATGACTGTGCCTAGTTTTAAAATAAACGTTTTTCATTTATCAAATTAATTCAAAATTTATAGTTTATTTAAATTGTAATACTTAATAACATATTATTGGTATAACTCGGAAACATGTTCTCTGACTCTGATTAAGAATAGTCATAATGTATATTTTATTGCCAGTTGTATTCCGTTCAATTCACTTCTGTATATAAAATGACTAATATTGTATGTGATGTTTTAAGATAAATGTTTTTTCATTTATTTATAGTTTTCAAAGTTTTATAGTTTCCTAATCTTTCTTTAATTTTAAATTTTTGAACTGCCGTCATTTATTATTGCAGCAGAAAATAATTGCTGTAAATTAATGGATTGCACTACGAAGCTATATATATATATATATATATATATATATATATATGTATTAGCAATTTAGCTTCCTTGTGGAATCTATTAATTTACAGCAATTATTTTCAGTTCATTAATACTCTGAGCTTATTAATTTATATCCATAATAAATATTACTGGCTACAAATTGATTGGAAGACGGTTTCTCTGGTTTTACTGAAAAAAAAATCAAGTTTTCCGTTACAGTTGTGAACACATAAAAATTGAGGAATTCTTAATAGCGACATTATGAGATTTCATTTTAGCATTGATTTAGTTTATGGGTATGTAAAAGAGAAAAAAGATATTTTAGGGTATCTGGTAAAGTGTTCTAGGTTTTAACACGTGACATAATTATATTAATCTATACGGTGTTTATCATAATTATAAATTTTGTATAGTGTCAACGTTTCATTTATTAAACAATAAAGAAAATTATCCAATATTAAAATTCTAATACATATGAAATTTCATACTCATTTCCAGCACAATGATTTACCATAGTACAAATTTTATCTGTCTATTTTTATGCAACATGAATCCAATCTGATTAGATTTAGACAGTATCACTAACTTCGTCAAATAAGTGCACCCTGTCTTTATATTTGACAATATTCTATCAATAACTTATTTAATAATAAGTAAAACTCTTGTAATTGGCTAGGTTTTATTGTACATTTTTAGTGAAGAGTAAAATGTTTTAAGGATCAGAAGTCAAGATTTAATATATCTCCTTTTTTTTTTTTTTTATATGAAACTTTTAGTTTAACTCTTAGAATTATTGACTTAAGTCTACTTGAGTAAGTTGATTCAAGAGTAGGTGATTGGAGTGTTGTAATACAGAACTGTGAATAATGGTATACATTTTTCCACAAAGAATATCACTAAAATTAATGATCAAGAATGTTGAAATTGGAGTTAGTCATTCTGTCAACTGAAAGGATCATATAACAGTAATTAATTCTAGAAGTAAATGTAAAACATGCTGTTTTAGTAGTCGTTAAAATATTGTAAAACGGAATACTTTTAAAGATATTTTTTCTTAACAAGTGAACTACATTTAGTAGCTGTACTTAAAATTATCTTAAGCTTATACCTTTGTATAAGCTAAATATAAATATGTTTAAGTAGTCCTTGAAGAATTGAAAATAAAATTTAGATTACAGGAAAAGATAATTCTTTTAAAGATACTTTTTTCAATGTTTCATCTTTACAGGTCCTTATATTTAGTAGAGATATTATACTTAAATAGTAGACATATTGTAATTGTCCAAGTATTTTCCTCAGACCCCTTTCAGTAACAAATATAGACCTTTGCAAAAATCAACATTATTGTCCTTTTTTTGGAAACTTCACCCCAAAACCTCATTTTGGAAAATAAAAGATAAAAATTGAGAACAACTCAAGCTTATAGTTTTGTACCTGCAGGCCGCTGACAATGTCTCAAACTCGGCAAATGGGTGTGTGTTAAATCGTGGAAATATTTCCCCAAGATTCAATTTACAGGATCGTTCCCTTATAATAACACTAGGAATAGTTGTTTTTTATTTTATTTGTTTACCTTTAATGCCTTTATATAACTCGAATATGTAATTGCCTATTTTTATAAAATATAGAGATTGTTTAATCATGAAGAAGTTTTTCTAATGAAAGGCGTAATGATGAAAAATTATTCTTTATGTAACATATTCAAAGTATCTAACTTCAATATTTTTCTAAATTGTCATTTCTGAATTCTCATAGAAATGCTGTAACGTGAGCAAAAGAAAAAAAAAAAAAAATGGAAAAACAAGGGAAACAATACAGAGAGGACTGGCGGTGATAATGGAGGAGAATTTTAAAGCTAAGGGCCTGAAAGTAGAGTTATAAAAATTACTAGTGTATAGTTTATGTCATCAGTATTCCAGAATCGTGGAAATGACCTTAATTTTATAATGTTTTTTTTATTATTATCCTCAAAGATAAATTATTGAAAATTTTACAATTTTGACTTTATTGGAAGGAGTCCCTTATATTGTATAGGTCGTGTGCATTTTAAGGGAGTTATGCGGTATGTTTGAGAAATATAATTTATTATGTTATATTATCACACAACAAAATATCCATTATTCAATAATTATTTTATTATTATTATTTTAGTATCCTGATCTATTATTTACATCGAACACAGTTTCTGTACATACAATTCCCTATAATAATCGATTAGTAAAAATCTAGTGTAACACTATTGATATTTTTAAAAACTATATTTATAAGTTATGAATATTCCAATTTTGTCCAGATTTGAATATAACAGTAAATGCCGCCGATGATTGCTAAATAGAAGAATCTTCTCTTGTTGAGGTAGTTCACTGGAAGAGGAGGAGGATTATTTTGGGATGAATCCTCCCAAAAATAGGAAATTAATGGTAATTTTTTTCATAGGTCTATATTTGTTACCGCGATTGGTCTTAGCAAAATACTTGAACACTTACAATATACGCAGTCTTTTCAAATTTTAAAGCATGTACAGTTACTAAATACAAGCACCTGACAAGAAAGATATTTTAAAAAGTATACTTAAAAATACTATTTTTTTTCCTTTCATTTGAGCCAGATGGTCTGTCTACACTTGATCTGCCTTTGCGAAAACCACATTGGATGTTCTGGTTGAGATGATACTTTTCTAGGATCCTTGTGAGTATCATGTTCACCATTCGTTCCATTATTTTACATAGACAACTGATCAAAAATAGTGGTCGGCAGCTGGATGAATCGCGCATATCTTGACTGCCCTTCAATATTGGGCCTATTAGAGATTCGTTCCAGTTACTAGGGAAGTTACAACTAAGCCAAATATGACTGTTTTTTTTTTAAACTTGTTTATTGAAAATATTACAATCTGTCTCAAAGGACAATTATACAATAACAAAATAAATTATACAGAAAAATAATATATATACAATAGATCAGTGTAAAATAATCTTATAATAAAAAAATAAAAAAGAACACATACATACATATATACACTATTTACAATCTGGCGAAAGAATTCCGTGCTAGACTTATCTCTCCTACTGTGGAGGGAAAAGCATGAGCCCAGGAGATCCCTTCACTTATCTCTCAACCGCTTCACTGGGTCTAAACCGAGAGTTCTTTAGCCACATACACACATGTTTTGAGTGGAGAATCTGGCCATTGCCCCAAAACTCCAATATTTATAAACTATAAAAGGTCGTGGGGCCACTGCCTCTTTAACCTTCTTGGAGGATTATAGTGATGGGTTGTGCTAGATAGATATTGTGCAAAGGGATTCGGATGATATGTAAGGTTCTGGTGAAATTTAGAGAATTTTTCTCGGATAAGGTCAAGGAAAAATGGGATATTAAGGTCACGGTGTAGGGTTTTGTTGGTTACATAGAAAGGAGCATCAACTATTGTTCGAAGGACTTTGGACTGGTAGGATTGAATGTTTTTGTTACATTGGGTAACCGCCGAAATTCTCCGGTCCTTTTTCGTTCCGAATATTCAGTGCAATACTTTATTTTCAAAAACTTTAAGACGTTTCGCATCCATAAAGAACCGTAGGAAGAATAATGGTTTTGCAAATTCTAATTATGAAGTTTCGGGACAGGAGGCGAGAACTAAGTAGTTTCGACATGGAAAAATAACAAGCATTTCTCGCCTACAACCTAACCTTAATATCCTTTGCAATTTCGTTTTTTTCCAATTGTCGTAGGCACTAGATTCCTATAATTCTGCACGTGTTCAAATACATTCCTTTCTATGCCGATATCATCGAAACTATAACTGTTTTCGTAGCTAACCATATATTTTGTCTCATGCGTACTTATTCCGACTCCTAGTTGTTTTCCGCCTTTGATCAACGTTGTTGTATTTAGTTTTATTGTTTTCATGTCTCATTTTATTGGTTTCATGTTCTAATTCTAAATTAAATAAGGACAGGTGATAGAGAATCGTATTGTTTTAAGCCGGAACGAACCTTAAATATATTTAATCTTTATATATATAATAACAATAATAATAAACTTTATTTGTACATACAATGCAAAAAACAATGGATGAAAATAGATATATACAAAATCTTTACATTTTGATTTATACTTGACATTCTTATATGTACAAAATCAATATATTAGTTGAGGTTTAGAGTTCGATTTTCTTTCTTTATTTACATTTTTTTTCTAGCTCTTGCAACCACACTAGGTAATGAACCTGCCCATCTTGATATATATATATATATATATAAATATATACATATATATATATATATATATATATATATATATATTTATATATATATATATAATATATTGAGTCTATCGTTTCTCCAATTCTCTGGTTGGCTTATAATCTTTCGCGTCAATTACAGTTGTTTGTGCTGCTTTTCATACTTGATTAATTTATTTATTGATG